GTGATTCGCGGATGGACTTGCAAGAAACAGATTAGTTGGATCGAGTGGTTCCGAAACAGGTTGCTTCATGCTCTTTGCTGGGAGATTTGGAAAGAAAGGAATGCTAGAACGTTCAAAGACAAGATGAAAAAGGGGAAGATGATTGCTGTCAAAATTGGGAAGACCCTATTGAATTGGTGTTCTGCTCATGGTGTTATTAGTTCTCGGAATCGTGTTTTATGGATGAGATCAATTACTCGAGCCTGCCAATCTGTTATTACCTGAATGTGTTGGTGGGTGGTGACGAGTTGGTTTGCTGGTGTGGTTTCTTCTGTTTTTCCTCATTCTTTCTTTCTTGTCGTTTGTTCTTCGGGTTGTCTCGTTTGGAACTCTTTTTCCCCCTTGTTTCTGGGCCTTTCGGATCACTGCTGGCGATCTGATTGGCTTGAACTTCTTTCCCTTTTCAATTTCGGTTTTTTCAATAAATTCACCCTTATAAAAAAAGAGGATTCCAACTAAACAATAAAAAATAATGTTTTTCATAAGTCCAAACGATTTTTTTACAATAAGAAAAGTAGAAGGACCAATTATGAAATTTAGAAAAACAGAATATTTCAAGAATATTCTATCAACTTTGACGAAATGCACTTAACAGTAAACTTAAGTGGTACCGGGTGTACATATAATAGAGTTGAATGGTACGCGATGCCCTATTCTTAGTTATGTGATATAACTCTCTCAATTCTCATACTTCAGTGATACCCGAGATATTTTACCCACTTTTTCTTTGAGTCGTGTTTACTTTGGGTCTCATAAATGCATGTATTAATTTTTTCCTTGAATTTATGTATTAATTTAACTAATGGTCGGTTCTTAAAATATTATTATGATTTTAAGTGTCTTTCTTGATATTTTTCTACTTCATTTTGAAAAATATATGATAGATATTTGAACAACTTGTTGTGTTTACGTCATTAATTACGCCATATTTAAACGATAAAAAATTATATTCAAATTGAAAAATTACATATAAATGTTCATTATATTTAATTATTATCTAATTAAAATGATGAAATCTACAACAAACAACATTATGACAAAAATAGAAACTTTGGCACTTTGACATTCTAACACTCCTTGTTGGAGCTAGGGATGACAACATAGCCCGAACCTACGGGTACCCTACCCGACCCAACCCGGTCAATGCGGATATAACTCGTATTGACGGATTCTGGGTCGGGTTCAGGTTTAAACCGGTTTACTGTTTTGCGGGTTGGGTTTGGGTTTAGCTATATCCAACTCGCTCTAACCCGTACGCGTCCCCAATCACGAAACCTTTACTCACTTTCCATTCAGCCATTCTCCCATACTAATCTTCCTTGTGTTTGTGGAGACATGTCTAATTTGTTCTTCCTAATTGTGTAAAATTAAGTTGATATCATAGAGTGGAGAGTGAAGAAGCTTAGTTGACAAAGAGGAAGAAGGTTTCAATTAATTATATTGTTTATGGGGTGCCTTCTACGGTACCCCGGGTGAAATCCGGGGTACCGCGTACCTTGAGTATGAAAACGCTATCTAGACCTCGAATTAGCAGGATTTTTGGGCATGATACTATACCCTAACCCTTAATGAGTGAACCCTAGGTCCTAATTATCTAAATCATAAACTATAAACCTTAAGATGGGGCATTGATTTTTTTTCCTATATTTGGACGAATCATAACCGTCGATTATTGCTTCTAATTAAATTGATCTTGGGGTATAAGATTTAGAGAATTAAGACCTAGATGTTGATCTTCAAGGATTAGAGTATAGTATCATCTCCGAAAAATCAGTCAGTTCAAGTTCTGGATAGCGTTTTCTTACTCAAGGTATGTGGTACCCCGGATTTCACCCGGGGTACCATAGAACTCCCCTGTTTATGGATGTTTATCTTTAATGTTTAACAATTTGTATGGATACTTTGTGGTTTGCTTGTATGCTTTAGATTTGTATTTTTTGTGTAGACAATTTGTATAAGAAGAATGATGTTAGACTTTTATTTTGACAAAAACTTGTTAATATATATTTTTTACCACATAACACATAGGTATCCATAAACCCGCGGATATCCAGCAGGTTGGGTTCGATTTGAGTTTTTCAAACCCAATAAATTTTATCATAATTTTTTTGGGTGAATATATCCATAAATTTAGGTTTGACAAAACCAACTCAACCCGACCTATTGAGCAAGACTCACTTTTGAGGACGTACCGTGGGCCATGCAAAGCGGCTGTGGACGCTCGTGGATTTAATTTAGGGCTGGGCGAAACCATTGGACTCATCGGCTTTGATCCTTAGACCAAGACGACAAAAAGTGGTGGGACGGCATAAAAGAAGTGAAAAATTCCATGAATCCGTATAGAAATCGGACTTTATTTCCCCCCAATTTTTTTTTAAGCCTGCCACAAAGAACATGAGAACTTATCCTAAGAAAAGCTAGCTAGATAGAGAGTGGAAGAATGAATACACAATACAATAATAATAATTTAGTGAAATGATAGGAAGAATGTGTCAGAAGAGAAAAGAGGCCAGGTACGTATTCAAATACAATGCACCTTTAGAGTAGAAACATTTACATACAGATACAGGAATACAAAACTACCATACAAAATTAATTATAAATATTTTTTGCCTAACTTATACATTTTTTCTCACTGTAATACTAGTAAAAATTGATATTATTTGAGACGAAACGATGAAAATGAAAACAAACAGCATAGTATACATGGTTATTTCTACTTTAATTAAAGTCAAAAGAAGATTAATTAATAAATAAATCATGGTCCATAAAATCGTATCATACCGGCGGTTGGATTATAAAATATTAGTATCAAAGACTAAACATATAGTTGGTATTTAACGATACTAACATTTAAACTACAATTAAATTGTAATTTTTCATAAAATATTCTACCAGTGACTTATGAGCGTTAAAATAAACTTTCTATTTTTTTTTGTTGCGTGATAGTAATATACCACATATGGACAAAGGAATAGTAGAGTGGGATGTTGGGAGCATAGTGAGATATCACACATGGAGTCTAAGCTATCTGTATTTCCAATTCCATTGGCTTCTTCTATCCGCTGGCTTAGATGCGGTTTGACCATTTTCGTATAATTTTTTTTTTTTAAGTATATGGACTTTTGTCTTCTTTTGTTTGTGTACTCTTTCGTATTTAATGTTATATTAAAATACAATTACACCCATTTTGTTTTTATTTGGGCGGCAATAAATCATTATACGAGTTATACGTGTAATAGTTTCTTATGAATAACTATAAATAAATAAATATGAAGAGAGGGGAAGTTGGAATTTAGTGAAGCATGATCCTTGAGACATGAACACCAGTATAGTTCGACCCTGCCTTGGGAGGCAGCCTACCTGCCCATCATCAATCAACTGGAGCCCCTAAATCCCTTATTTTGGAGACAACAAATTTGCTCCTTTTCTCTTAACAATGTTTAAGTATGGTAAGTTGGGATGAGTACTAGGTTGTTAACCCGGTTGTTTTCAATTGGTTAAAATAGGGTTAATTATGGATCATATATCATTTTCTTACACACTCTTTAAAACAAAAGTCAATTCATAACTTGAAGTTTGTACATGTTCACTATACCTTGTGCTTTAAAAAATTATTAATATTGGGATCGTGGAGATTCAAACACACAATAACTTGGTCAAATCAGTTTTGATATCACGTCATAAGCCTGTTGGTCCCAATAACTTCGAGTTATGCTAGAAAAGTTAATTATGGACCATATAACACTCTCTTTCATGCCAACTGGGATCGAGAGATGCTCTATTCGAATCTTGGTAACCGTCATTGGTAAGCACATGGTGTCTGATGCATGTGCTAATTTCAAGCCTGTATGAGTGACTTTCGTTTTAGGCGACGTGTTAGTATGTGATATAATAAGATTCATTATTGAACATCTCCCAATAACTCGAGTTATTGGAACCAATTGGTTTATGACATATGTATTATTCTGAATCATGGAATAGCATAATAACACTGTAAAATTATGTTATCGTGCTAATATAAATATGACCAATTATATTAATTTAATGATGAAATTTATCTAATTTTTTTATAGATAATTAACTTTCTATTATTTATTGATGGATCATATATGTTCTATTTAATTTGGATTACAAATGCTTTGTATAGAAACATTATATTAATTATGATATTCAATATGAGATGCAATTCAATAAAAAAAAAATAGCAAACAAATCATATCGTTCAATACTTGCATGCCCTTCTTAGTTTCTTGTATGCATTTTTCAGTTTAGGGTGTATGTATTCTTGTGTTTCTTCCCCTATTAACTGTATTGCTCTTCTTCTATGGATTCCTATAGTGTTAGCGCCATAATGACACATTATAATATTATTATATTATCTTTTCCCTTGGATGGACAAATCTGCTCTACGAGTTAATGTTCTTTAATCTTTATAAATAGAATGGTGATTGTTGGCTCCAAGCAAGATTTGAATCTAAACTTTCTAAAGTATGATAGATGTTAACATATTTGTACGTTATTTACGTACGCTGATATTTAATGACTTCATTGCATGCCCATCACTTCCTTTTGCTAAACTCACACGTACGATCTCTCTTTGCATTGCGTTACACAATCTTAGCTATCCAATCAAGCTACTGTTCACACACCCACCAAAAAGCTAAAACCTAGCCCACTAATGAAAATATAGAACAGTACGTTCACATTAAAAGCTTAGCAAACTGATCATATATATAATAATTAACTACCCATCCATGCATTACAAAACAATCGTTTCCCAACAATTACAAACTCGAAAGAGATCGAGAACACTAATTACCCTAATTTACACGATAATTAACCCCGATACACAAATTAGCCAAAAAGCCGTACGTTATCATCATCATCATCCTATAAATGTATTATTGTTACGAAAAAAAAAACTAACGACGGGCGAAAGATCAAAATGAGTTAAACCCTCAAAGCATTTGCATCGATCCAAGCATCACACCATGATGGTGGTGATGATGATTCCCGTAGGCCGCCGCCGGAGGAGACGGCTGACCACAACCCCCATTCTTCCCCACCGCCGCCGCCGCACCACCGCCACCAAACCCCGCCGCCGCAGGAGAGAACGGGAACCCACCTCCAAACGCCACCGCGGGAGGCCGAGTCGCACCGGCGCCGGCCTGCTCGAGGGACTGGACCTGCTTCTTGAGGAACTTGACGTAGTGGATGGCCTCGTCGAGCATGGAGGCGGTGTCCATCTTGGTCCCGCCGGGGACCAGCCGCTGGAGGATCCGGATCCGCTCGCTGATCCGCTCCCGGCGGTGCCTGGCCGCCACGCTCTGCGGGTCCTTGGAGATCCGGACGTTGCGGCGCTTGGGTGGCTTGACGGAGTCCGGGTCGATGTGGATTGGCTGCATGGCCGCGATCCGGAAGATCATCTCCCGTATCGCCGCCGTCGAGTTCCTCCTCTCCACGGTGGTTGCCGGAGGAGGAGGAGGAGGAGGGTACTTGAGGAAGAAGTTGGGGTCGGGTATAAATGGTGGTTGGGAGGAAGGTGGTGGTGGGAGGACGACGTCGTTTTGGAACATCATGGAGATCATGTCGAGGTGGTGGTGGTGGTGGTCGTTGGATGTGGTGGACGAGGAGGATGAGGTGTTGTGGTGATGAGTCATGAGGTCAACGTCCATGGCGAGAAGGGGGAAGGAGAGATGAAGAGCGATGGAGGTGCTTCTTTTTAGGGTTATGGGGTTGGGGAGGAAAATGGTGGAAGGGAGCGCAGGGATAAGTAAGGAGAGAGATCAGCTGCTGTTCATCAGAAGGCCCATCACCGAATTCAGCGCAGCGGTGGTGTTTTCTTTTGCTTTTGTTGGTTGCAGAGAGAGCGATGAGATTGCGAGGATTGGAAAGCTACGGGGGAAAGGCTTTAAATAGCTACCAACTTGAGTTCTCCCATTTACTTTAAGAGAGAAAAAAAAAAGAAATTTATTTTGTGGATTATTATTGGATGCAAAAGTTTGGGAGGGAGGGTTTGACAGAGGAAGTGTCTCATCTATGTATTTCGATTTATATTTTATGACATTGAACCGGATATGAAAAACAAAGGAATTTATTTTTTACAGCTATTTAAGTTATTGGGATGAGGCCAAAGAAGTTGTCACGTAGTTTCTTGGAGTGTTACGGGCAATATATATTTGACTAGAATGTTGGTTTGCATCTAGGATGGTATGGTAACGTTTTTTTTTTTTTTACATATTTACCAATTGTTTTCATGAACTCTTGTCATTTAATGTATTGAGGAAAATAGAGTAATACTTGAACGAGATTGGAGATGTTCTTACAAACAGATCGACTAACTAAGAGTTGGTTTAGGGAGGGTTTATCAAAGACTTAAAATAATGAAAGTGGTGGTTTTTGCAATTTTTTTATCAATTTTTAAATTTTAACCTAAATCAATAAACTCGAAACAGTTTTGGACCAAACAAGAATACCTGTCTGTCTGTCAGTATAAACCGAATTTTTTTTTTTAACTGGATTGGCACTCTAACTCGCCAGATAAGGTTAATGGCTTGACCTAAGGATATGTGTATCAATATAACAATATTCTCTTAAAATCTCAACCATTGATCGATCTGATGAGATACAATATGATACAAGTGATGATAAAATCTGAATCTAAAAGAGAACAAAAGTGGAGGAGGAGATGATGTTGGTGAAGATCAGAAGATGAGATGGTGTGAAAAAGGTAGTGGGACGTTTTCACAGAATAAGCCCCCACAAACCACAAGGTCGAGACCCAAAAAAAGGGATCCATACGGTGCAGTGCATCAACCCATTTTCAGCCACCCTCTTTCTTTCCTTTCCTTTATTACCCACCTCCACTTGGGCCCACAACCTCCTTTCCCTATTCTGTCATTTCCTTTCCAAAAAAAAAAAATAACAAAAAAAAAAGAAATTGGTGTTCTTCCTGCTACTGGCAAGCTTTGGCCTGCAAAATTCTTACTACTGAGAGAATTATTACCAGATCTTGAGGGAGGGAATTCTTTCAGGCTTACAGAAAGGAAGCCATATATGATCAAACAGATACCCCACAATCCCATGGCATCTGTCAGAGAAACAGCAATCACCATTCACCTCCCTTTTCTTCCCACACTCTGGTATTAATTTTTTTCTAACTTGTTTATTCTAAAGTATATAAAAAAAAAAAAAAGCTAACGACTAAAAGACACTTTCTTTAACACTAGCTGTCATGTAACAAAAATGGGTTTCCCTCAAAAATAAAAATTTCCCACTCCCTCTCTAGTTATATAAAAAAAAGTAACTGATAGCTAGGGTTTCAGGCCAAACAACTGTAATAAACCTTGTTTTAATCATGGAGTTCCCTTCCAAGGGTAGACAGTAGTATTGCCCACCAAGTTGATCATCATCCATCACATGCATATGGACATTAAAAGGGTCTACCCCAAAAGTCTCTCAAACTTTAGTCCTAGAAAACAATGGCCTTATACACAAAGAGAGAAAGAAGAAAAAAAAGAAAAAAAAATTGGTGGTCTCACTTTAGAGAAGTGGAATAGTGGTTGCTGCTCCCTCTCTTGATGGCACACTTCTCAAGGAGAGGATTAGGAGCTTCATTTGCCCGATTGATGCTGACCCTATCTCTCTCTCTCTCCTCTTCTCTTTTATATGTAGCCAAAGGCTACCACCAAGAACAACAAAAAACAAGCTAATAACTTAGTGAGTACACAAACTAGACAAGCACGAAGAGAGACGAAACTGCATGATTTTCTACCCTTCTTCTGGTACATCCAGCCAGCCGCAGCAGCATTCAACAGCTAGCTGGTAATAATTGACTTTGTTACTTCCTGCCTGTTGCAAACCCAATGCAGAAGAGAAGAGAAAGTGGAGACTTTCCGGTTTTCATGCAAGTGAATGCATGACTACTCGAAATCTGCTCATTTCCAATATGCCTCACCAACAACAGCGACAGCACAAATCTTCGGGGGATGCAAAGGGCGAAAAGGGCTTTACCGGTCTCATGATGCGTCATCCAGTTGTTTACTGTTTCATTGAAAAGAAAAATGAATGAATGAAGTGAGTGTGTGTGTGTCCTTAAATAATAAACAGGTTAATCATAATTACTCTGACTCGTTGGTGAATGTTATACTGCATGCAACTTTACAAAGCAAAGAATAAATCATACAGATACTTGCAGGGGCGTAGGCAGGAATTTTGGTAAGGTGGGTCGAATAGTAATATAGGTCCCAACAAGCGACAATAAGTAACCCGAATCAGATGACGAGAAACAGTCATATTCTTATTTTCAGTATCAGGCCGCCAGCAACATCGTCTTCTAGCCAATCACCTATCCATTAACCACCAAGGAAACTCCGTCGATCCGGGAGAATGAAGAGGTGTAAGTCCCGATCGTGCGTGCCTCTGCTTCTCCGATTTGCTCCTAAAATCTTAAAAATATCTAGTTATGTTATTTCTAGGTTTTACAAAGAAAAGCTTTGAAGATCATAAGAAAAATGAGACTTTGATCAGAAAAGTCTGTCATAATTGACTTCAATTGAGTTTTTATATGCAGTAAAGAGAAGCCAATGGACCACAAATTTAAACTCAAACCCAAAAATCCAGGAGTACTCGTTTTTCTAGCAAGCCCATCAAAAAACAATGTGTTAAAGTGATATTTAAGCCCACTTTCACATCAGTTTACAACTACAACTAATTTAAAAACGCAGACGTTTTCATTAAACACATAAACAAGGTTCCCATTATATATGTTTCGATCAAAGCAGCAGCTTATGCAAGGTTGGACCAAAAACAGAGTAAGAACACAGAATAAAATATGAAGAATTGAAAAACCAATTACTTGTTTGTGTGTTGCAAAGCCAAGGTGGTGCAGCCGACCCACCTTGGCCTGCTCTGGCTCCGCCCCTGGATACTTGTATGGTTGATGTATTAACAATGTGTTAGCTAATGTAGTATGACTGGATGTGTTAGTAATAGTGGTATAAGGATACATTAATTGCGCTTGGATTTATTTAAGACCAACTGGTTATTGATACGGTATAAGAGTTTTTTGTAAACAAAATGCTTTCTCCTCGAATCTCGACGACCTCATTTGTTAAACACATGGTATCTAGAATTATGCAAACTTCATATCTATATATATGGTGAGCTGTGTTACTAAGTGGTATATAATCGATAATTGAATTTCTGCCAATAATTCGATTTATTGATACCAATTAGTTCTTGGTGATTTCAACGAGACTATATGAGAACACTAGATCATGAAAACCTTACTAATATATTATTCACTAGAATCAATTGGTCTCGAATTTCGACTATAGAAAGAATTGCTAATGGGGTTCTTTCACTGATCATTCTTCTTGTGTCTCTTTTTCTGATATCCTTTTTTTTATCTTCTTATCATGTCCATAATTTTGTTTTTTATAATTCACTTTATATGGAATTATATTTATATATAATTGTTATCATTGATGAAGCCCTGCCTTATCTCGAAGCAGTAGTGCAGTACCAAAGTTTTAAAGGATTGCACGTGTAGGACCTCTCCTGAAATGGGAAAATATGGCCAGAGTCAGAAGTCACTGGATCCCGAGAGCCATATTAAATTTTATAATGGTCAACAATTATATAAATAAATATGGATCGATAGATAAATTCCTATACTTTATTTTTGTCTTTACATTTCTTCACTTATATTATATGTCTCCCTTAATTAAGTTTCTCCAGCAGGTTACGCATTATTATATGTTGGATATTATTATTTATTACATTGGCGGACAACCGACAGAACATAAGCAGAATAAAGTGAAATCAACGAGTTTGTTCTCGGTCTGCTCATGTTGTGAGCGCATGATTTTAGGGAGTTTGCTTCGGTGATTTTAAGAACCGTAAATTACATTTACTTGAAGTCTAACGAGTTAATATCTGCCATTGATAATAACACTGTTGGAATCATGGTTAGATATATATGAAAAAAGATTGGTCACTATTGACATAATCAGTCGACTTGGTTGTCATGAGTCATGACCTTATTATCAATGTTTGAGCAGTATTCCAGTATTAGAAAGGTTCTGATATCAAATAAGGACACCAGAAGCAATTAAATAGTAGCGATACTAATAGAAGCCCCTATAGATAGCCACCTACACTATTAGTATATTGGTAGTGCATCTTTTGTTTTCCAAATCCAATTGAAAAGCACATCATGATTAGAGGTGTAAAAACATAATCCAATCCGACAAACCCACTCGATCAACCCGATCCGCAACCATATCACAATCTGAATTGACTAAAAGTCAGCAACTTGTAACCTGCCCGACCCACAATCAGAATGACCCGCGATCCGATTAACCCAAACCCAAATGACCCATAACCCAATTAAACTCGTAACCCAATTAACCGTAACCCGATTGACCAGAACCCGGCTAACCCGTGACCCAATTGACTCAACCAAAACCCCACCTCATTCACACGATGTTAGTAACAGAACAACAAGGGAACGAGGTTACTGAATCTGGCTGAGTCGCGGACTAGGTCGCTCTCTTTAAGATGTTAGCGGCACTAGCTCTTTGTGCACAATAGTTCTACTTGCGGGCGCCTCGTGGATAAAACAACTTTCTCTCTAACTCGGTGGTTTTGTGTGAAAACTGGAGCTCCTTGAATATTACACTCTCTCTCTCTCTCGTGTTTCTGCTCGTTTTTGTGGTGTGTATAGAAGGGCTAAGGAGATGACTATTTATAGTAGTCAGACCCCCACGAATATACCCTCTGACTTGGGGAATAAGTCCTGCTAATTAGGATAATAATTACTTTCTTAATCAAAACGCGTCTAGTAGGATAATTTATGTCGAATTATCCCTCGAGTATTCCTCTGAGTTAATTATCTCATATCTTTGTACCCTTTGGTTAGGAGTTCTCTCACCAATGTGGTATTCTATCCTTATTACCTATAGCTTTCAAAAACTATTCACTCCATTTCCAACAATCCCCCACTTGAATAGTTTTGAAACTATCTCTGATCATCAAAAGATCTATAAGATCGGGCATAAACTAAGGTCTCTCTCGAGTTGAACCTTAGCGTAGTGGTTACACTTCTGGTTTCATAAGGGTGACTCATAGTCTTGAACCCTATTATCTCAGACAGTGCAACACACTGGATCTTTTTATTGAGTGTTATTCTCTCGTAGATCGTGCTTTTATGGCCCTGCACGTTGTCCTGGTTTAGTGAATGCTCTATCAACTTTGTGCCTCCAAAGTTCCATAGGGAGCGGCCCCACTCCCACATTCACATAGGTGAGTCTAGCTGAAGTACCCCCAAAGTAAAGTACTCCACCTCATATAGGGTATAGATCGCATTAAAAGTTTTTAACTCAACCTCCATTGCTTTGGGATTCATGCTTCACTATGCATGAACTTTTCTCATACTACTCATGACTTGTTATTACCCATTGAACCCAATTCTTGGAATCTCTAGCCTATTGGGTCGGGTTAACATCACCTATAGTCTGTGGTTCGGTAGACATCACATAAGTCCCATACCCTTGGCAGTATTTGGACTTTCTCTCTAGCCAATTCTTTTGTCATAAAATCAACTAGATTTTGTCAGATCTTACATTATCCACCCTCACTGTCCCTATCGTTAGGAGTTCTCGTACAGTACTGTGCTTATGACGAATTGGTCGTCTCTTTCCATTATAGAACTGGTTCTCAACTTTAGCAATAGCTGCGATGCTATCACAATGGATCAATACCGGAGGGGCCGGTCTTTCCAATAAGAGACTCCTCTCAACCAACTTGCTTCTTCATTACCCATTGCTAGTGCTATCATCTCTAATTCCATAGTTGATTGAGCTAGGATTGATTATTTCTTAGACTTCCAAGACACGACTCCTCTAGCGATATTAAAGACATAACCACTAGTTGCCTTGGAGTCATCTGATAGGTATTCCAATCCGCATCACTATACCCTTCTTGTACAACAGGAAACCTTTGATAATGTATACAAAGGTTCGCTGTTCTCTTGAGGTATTTCATGACCCTCTCTATAGCATTCCAATGCTCTCTACTAGGACAACTATTAAACTTGCCAAGCAATCCCATGACATATGCAATGTTGGTCGAGTGTAATATGTCGTATAACGGAGACTACCAATGATGCTAGCATATTCAGATGCCTTACATTGTCTCCATTGTTCTTGAATAGCTTTACACTAGCATCATACGGAGTACACGCAGGTTTACAGTCAAAATAACAATATTTCTTCAAGATCTTCTCTATGTAACTACATTGATCTAGAGAAAAATCATTTGTTGTTCTAGTTATCTGGATTCCAAGCATAAACTTAGCTTCAACCAGATCTTTCACCTCAAAGTCCTCTCTCAACATGTCTTTTGCTTCATTGACCACGTGAATATTTGTACCAAATATCAACGTGTCATCTACAAACAAACATATGATAGTGCAAGTGTTTTATTTCCTGATTTGTAGTAAATACAGTTGTCACTTTCATTCACCATGAAGCAATGTGAGAGAACTAGATTATCAAACTTTTCATGCCACTATTTTGGAGCATGCTTCAAACCATACAATGATTTGGTTAACTTGCAGACTTTGAGGCATGTTCGGGAATAACAAAGCCTTCAGGTTGTTGCTCTATGTAAATTTCTTCGTCGAGATCACCATTCAGAAATGACGTTTTAACATCCATTTGGTGTAACGAGATTGTTCAAGGCAAAAAGAACAATCATGAAACGAATGGATGTTATTCTAAATACTGGTGAATATGTATCGAAGAAATTTAAGTTCTCCCTCTGCCTATAGTCTTTAACTACTAGGCGAGCTTGGAACCCGTCAATTGCACCATCAGGTCTCCGTTTTGTTTTTAGAACCCATTTATTACCTAAGACTTTGCTGCCAAGAGGTAAGTCTATAAGATGCCAATTCTTATTAGCTTCCAACGAATTCATTTCATCTCTAACGGCCTCATCCCACAAGTCTGCGTCTATGGAAGATAATGCTTCCTGCATACTTTAGGATCTTCGAGGGTGTATATTGTAGTAAAGTCTTCACCAAAATCTTTGGAGATTTTAGTTTGTTTAGTTCTTTTGAGTTCAAACTCAGATCCAACACCTCCACTAGTTCCGTTATCTCTAATAGCAGGCAATACATTACCCCACTATTTCTTGTTTAAATGGATATCAAGTCTAAAAGAAATCACCATCATTGGATTCTATTATAGTACAAGCATTCAAATCATAGAATCTATATGCCTTGCTATTGGGTGTATAGCCAAGAAAGACACGCTCATATGCTCGACTAGCCAACTTAATTGTCTTAGGATCTTGAATTCTTACATAGGGTAGGCAGTCCCACATTCTTAAATGGGACAAATTAGGTGGTCTATTCTTCAAAATCTCGTAGGGTGATTATTTTCTATTAGTTTTTGGAAGACGATTAAGCACATAGCAAACCGTCAACAAAATATCACCCCACCAAGAAGAAGCAGCTCCACAATTCAGCATAATAGCCACAAAATACCCTACCACAAACGTATTCGGTATGACTTCCGGTACGTTTTCGCAAACCATGGTCCCATGTCGCTCGCTCGACCGACCGGTCGATTGGACAGAAGGATGGCGCGCGCGTGTGTGGTGGTCCGTTAGGTCCTCCCTCTTCCACAAAAGTGGTTTACCCCAAAGGTCATGCCCTTAGGTGAGAGAACCCAATCTTTATACCCCTTTGGTAGGAGTTCTCCCACCAATGTGCTATTCAATCCTTAGCACCTATAGGTTTGAAAAGCTATTCACTCCATTTCCAACCCATTAATAATTATAATATTATATATTAAATCAACTTTCAAAATAAAGTTTTTCATTCTAAACTAGGTAAAATGAATTTTTTATTTCG